TCCAGGTATCCTCCTGGCCAGCTTTGATGCCATCCTGCCTACCCTGCCTTCTCGCCAGGTGCGGCCAGCTTTTGCTTCTCTGTATTCCTAATGAAGAGGCTGTTTCCCCCTGCACCCGGCAGAGATGCTGCTTTCCGTTCGAGGGACGAGACCTACCTGGGTTTCTCCTCTCGCTTTTTACCTCCCTGATGGACCATTTCTCCGTGCGGGATGGGGAGACGTTTCAATTTCAATGTGATGCAGCGAGGAAGATGGGGAATCCTGGGTAGTAGCCAAGACCTCGGGAGATGCCCCTTCCTCTTTCATCCTCCTCTTCACCCTGGCACGGGCATTTGAATAGTAACACTCCCTTACCGGCTTCTTGGCTGGTCCTTCTCCTTGGACAGAGAAATGGGAAGGGGAAGAGTGTGTATGTGTAAGAGAGGAAACAACTGTTACACCTTTTGTCATCAAGACAAAGAACTTCATCTCCCTGTGTCCCTCCCTCTGGGTGCATATTGGCAGCACCTCAGCCACTTTGCATTGCTTCCCGGAGATGCTTCGTAGGGAGATGCTTCATAAGGATCTGGTGTGGCCCTGACCTGCCCTTTTTTGTTGTTGTTGCCAATTATGATGGTGCTGATAAAAGGACATGTTGATATGTTTCCAAACAGTCTCGTGGTTTGCATTCCTGAAATTGCTGCAGCATTCTTATTTATTTATTTAATTGGAGGGGTGGGGGGCTTGATAACAGGAAGGGGGTATGTTTTTGTAGTTTACTGTAGTTGTTTGGAAGGTACGAGGTCACGTGCAATTGTAGCACTGTAGTGTTGAGTATATTAACTAGTGCTTTCTCTCTCTGTCTTGTCTTCTAGTCCTGCAGTCTTCACTTCATCTACTGTGCAAGGAATGGTGATTCTGTGAGAGAACTGCCTTTTGATTACCTGTCTCCTGCTATTGCTTGCTGCTCCTGGCCAGTGATGAGCCATTCAGCTGGACTGGGATTTACCGTGAAGAAGGGAGAGGCAGAATATGAATTGTAGACATCCTGTCACGTTCCTCACATACTGTTTTTACTGTATCTGTATATAAACCTGCTAGTATCAAGCACACACGCTCTCTTAAACCTACATTGGTATTCACAGACTTGCTATTGTGTAAGAGGACTGGTATTTTTCCCCACTATGGCTTCAGTTTGGAAAAGGCTGCAGCGTGTTGGGAAACATGCATCTAAGTTCCAGTTTGTGGCCTCTTACCAGGAACTGATGGTTGAGTGCACCAAAAAATGGTAAGAAGCGGCTCATGTTGCTGCACAAATGATGGAGTAAGATGCTGGCGGTGAAACAGGAAGGATGTTGCTCATTTTGTATTGTTTGGTGTGTGTGCACTGCTCTTGCATCCCCTTGCCTTCTCTTGCCTGCCCACTGCAGAGGCAGCTGAGTGGGGTGCTTGTCTTTCTCAGTGAGTGCTTGCTTTGCTGTGTGGTTGTCCTGGACCTGCTGGGTTTGTTCTGTATTCTGAGGTTTTAGGCTGGCATTGTTTTTACCTTGCAGAGGAGGGTGCATTTATTAGCTTGGTGTCTGTGACATATGTGACTTAGTGGTGTGGTTTTGATTGTTGGTTTTGTTGTTTGGTTTTGTTTTTTGGGTTTTCTTTAAGTATTTCCCATGAGCTGTTTTCCAGCTGCCAACTCAACTCATCATGATGAGTGTTATCTACTGACACTGTTGTTACCTGACTGAGGCATTTGAGATCAGTCCTGGAGGTGGTGGTGGTGGGATATCTGGGGTGGATGCCAGTTTTGATTTTTGACTTTCTTACCTGAAGAGGTCATGTTTCTCCTTCTCTTGCTTGTTCCTTTCTATCTTTTAACGGGAAGAGGCAAGAGACAGGTCCTTGGGAATTGCCTTGAGGTATCTGTTTAGTCAGACAAGAATTTTGTGCAGTGGTGGTCCAGTTGGATGGCTTTATAGCCAACTAGACAGCAGTTAATGGTTAATGTTGTGGGTCTGGCAGCTCTTGCCTTTGCAAAATGAGCTTAAATAAATCTGCTAGGGAAGACTAGAAGCAGCTTTTAAATAGTCAGGGAAAGATCTCCATGATACAACTGCTGTTTTATATGTTTGGAATATTGATGTTACTGACATAATTCCTCACATTAGTGTGAGCCTGTAGTGTCAGGGGATGAAGAAAATACTTTCCAGACCTCATGGACTGAGATGTTCAAATTGCCTTGTAATAAACTGCAGCCTCCTTTCTAATACTTGGCCTTTATTCTTGTTGGCAAGTTTGGCACTTGCATTGGCTGCTTTCACTGGTTATGAGTAATTGCCTCTACAAATTTAAATTCTATCTCCTGGAGTAGGAAATCTCTGTCAAATATGCTGGAGGGCTGCTCACTGCTCTGTCTTAAAGAAACACTGTCAGTTTAAACGTTTGGGGTTTTTTAATAGCAAGTTATCTTCGTACCTAAAATGTTCTGAAATATTATTAAGAAACAGAATTGTTTTGGAAGTTGACCTTACTTTCACAGAGTAAACTACAAATAAAAACATTGTAGAAGTTGAAAGAGGCTGTTATGATTATCTTGTGGGATCTACTGTCCTAAAGAGACCAAAGAGTTTTCCACAGTAATTTTGGTTTTTCAGGTTTATTTCAGCAGTTGGGTTTATTACTTTTGATGTTCACTTTGCATTAACAAGCCTGCTTTAGTTTCATTTTCACTTTGATTCACTCGTTGCTTGAGAATTTGCAGAATGCTTCAGCACTAAAATATGAATCCTGCAGGGGAATGTTCACATCGGAATTGCAGCTAACTGTCACTTCATACACAGAAGTTCTCTTATGAAGGATCTTATTATTTTAGAAACAGCTCATTGGTTAATCGTAACTGAGAGTGCCCACCTAGCAAAATGCCTGTGTGTGAAGCAGTGGAACAGCCTTTCAAAGACTCAGATATGCAACTAATTTTTAAAAACTAGGTCATCCTTCTGAACTTTCATTTTGTGTTCTTGAATATAATTATAGGCAATATCAGTGCTTGTGTTGGTTCTGACAAAGCAACAGTATGGTGGTGAAATGTGGATGAATTCTAGGAAAAATAACAATGGGGAAAAACATCACTCACATGGTCCTTTGATTGTGAGCTTTTTGATTCTGCTTCCTCTTATTTGGAAAACCTTAACAAAAGTGTTCCTTAAGCATGCAAGCTAAAATACAATATTTCTGCCATAAGTCAAACTTTTATATGAAACAAAGGGGTAAATATTTATTTATTTTGAGAGCCTTCGACTAAATCTTTCCTTACCTTTGGAGAAGGTACAGTTTATATACATTTTTTGTGCATGCTGACAGGATCACTGCTTCATCTGTTTCTAAGTCTTGTCTCTGAGTTTGGCCCATATAAGAACAAAACAGAAGAAATGAACTCCATATGCTGTTCTTGCTGAAAGTATTCAATACATATTAAGTGTCAGTGCTGTAGTCTGTAGTTTGTTTGATTGAAATGTAGTAAGCAGTAAGTTATTTTAATGTACTGGCATTTTAACAATGCAGTGTTTCTGGAGGAAAAGAATGCTCCATTCATATTTTAAAATAAATGACAATGCAGCCATAAACACACTAGCACTGAAAAGTGTCTGTGAGCAAGGACTGTGCATGACCAAAACAAGCTGTGTGCCTCTTTGTGAACTGCTATCTTCTGTTAGGTCTACATTTGTCTGACTCTTCAGAGAAGGACTTGTGTGTTAGGATGTTTTTGTACCGATCGTTTATGGTTTGCAATGTCGAGTGTGTTTCTGGTTGGATTTAATACTCTTTGTCTCCTCTGGACTTGTATTGATTTGAGTTTGTTGTTTGGTTTTTGGTGTTTGGTTGTTTTTTTTTTTTAACTTAGTGTTTAAAATAGCTCCTGCCCTTTTTTCTGGAATTACCCTGGCTGTGTGGAAAGTTGCTACCACTCTGGTGTTGCTGCTTCACTCTTTTAAAGAATTATCTCTAGGTATAGCAGCGTTTGTCCAGATTAGGCTGAAACCTCCTTTTGTTGCTTTTTCTACTTTCTACAATTTGTGATTCTTGTCCCTACTAATGATTAGAGACAGCCACTCTCAAATGATGGCTTTTCATTGGTGGTGTGTTAGGGGGGAGACAGGTTGTGATGGAGTGTCCACTGTTGTCACCGTTCCTTATTTTTCAGATAATTAACAGTACTGAGTCACTTCTGTGGCATTTTGGCAGCTCCCACTGACCCAGACCTAATTACTGTGGCTGCTCAGTACCTCTGAAAAATTGAACACTTGGTTTATTTAGAGCCTTTCATTAAAATAAATAAACAAACAAGTGTAGTCTTGGTCTTTAATATGGATTAGTGACTTCTGCTACGGTGAAATCAAAACACTTTGCATTAATCATATAAGCACTTGATTTTTTTCTTTTTTTTTTTTTAAAGATGCTTACTTGGAAGTGCTGGAGTGTGTCATCCTCCATTTACCCTTGGAATAAGCTGGGGCAGCTCAGGATTTTCTACCCAGCCTCTCCAGTGAGCTGCAGTCTTGGCCTGAAAGGACTATATGTTGATAGGAAAGAGTTAATTTAGTGCTAATCCTCAGTGCAGGGTCATTGAATAAAACCAGAAATCAGTCTCATTCATTTTGCTTAGGCTCCTACAAAAAAAGCTGTATTTACTGCTCTGTGCTGTCAGAGCAGACTAGTTTTGTGTAGGATAGAATCTGGGCATCACTGGCAGGTGTAATGCTGTGACTTGTGCAGGGGACCCAGTTCAGTTCCTGAACATTGGTGTCAGATGCTGTTTTGAGATGCCTTTGGGTTTACTGTCAGGCTCAGCTGCCAGTTTGGAGAAGCCCAGGTCTCCTGTTGACCCTGTGTCAAGCCTGCCAGCCTGGCAAGTGTCTCTTGTGTACCCTGGAGCTCCCCAGCTGCTGGAGGCCTCTGTTCAGGCAACTGAGTCAAGGCTTGTCTGAGATACAGGCTCAGCAGAGGAGGCTCCCAGGGGGAAAGTTGTCCTTTGGACCAGAGATCAGTTCTAGTACTTGGACCTGAAGCTCTGATAGCAGTTTTATAGAGCTGCTGAAACATCTAATGCTGAACACATGAGCTCTCCAGGGTGGCGTTTGTGTTTCCTTATTGTTGTGTGATATCTTGCAAGTCAAGGACTCAATAGAGGCTTCAGATGTAATATCGACTGGTTTCCACAGAGAATGGCTTCACTTACAGAGCTGAGGTTGCCAGCTTCCTAATGTGTCATTGTCCTTTAGATGCTTTTATGAGCAAGAAAGCTGCTCACCTGAACCTGGGTACTAACTGCTTATAAAGGCTGGAAAAGAGTAAACATAAAGAGCCTTTTCTACAGGATTTGTATTCAGGGGTTGCTCGAGAGATAAAGAAGTACGATCTTTTTGTACAATGTTTGTAATGTTTGTCATCTACATGAACTGCTTTGCTTTTAAATCCTGCTTAAAACAGTGAGCCATGATGTTCTAAAAGGGTTAAACTGTTCTTATGTTTGAAAGCCTTAACTGAAGGCAGGTTTCACGTCTGTGAGGCAAGTTGCCTATTTTTGTATCGATTAGGTACGGTCTGAAGTAGGTTCTGTATTTTCAAATATACATCTTTTTCCCTTGGAAATGAAGTAAGGCTTAATCTTTTTTTTTTTTTCCAACAGGCTTTAGCCATCTGTTTTTCTCTTCTATTGTAGTTTCATAACTGGATGCTGCAGGAATCCTAAGATTTGGCATGCACTGTGCATGGAAGAGAAATGAGCTTTCTGAGATTCCACGGTTCACACTGATCTGCTTGCCTTCTGCTTTCTAGCAAACTCATCAGTGCTGAAGGCCACCAAAAGAACTGGAGTTAACTGGTTGCTGTAGAAATCCTTGATTTCCTGTACAGAGTCAGGCTGTCACATTGCTCAGTTAATTTCCTTGCTTCGTATAGTTGTTAGAGGGGATTTTGTGAGTACCCAAGAGCTTTTAATTATGAAGGGTCATCATATTGAATCTCTTTGAGTCAGTTTTGCCATGAACTGTGCTTTTTTTCATCATGGGCTTGCTCTGCTGAGTTTTTGATTGTATTGGAGTGTTAGTTATATAGGTGTACTGTAGCACTTATAGCTTGTGCAAGGAAGGCACCATGCAACTTCTTCTGCAGTTTAGCTTCTGTTCTCCTCTCAGTTAAATGATACTCTGTCCTTATACTTTTGAGATCTGATGCCACACCAGATAAACCCTATTTGCAAATATGCTTTAGCATTTTCTTTTCCTTTCCAGTTTT